GGCAGCACCATCGAAATTCTTCTGCTTTCAACTCATGCTAATTTCAGCATTATAGCTTATCGGGAAATAGTACGAACGAACGAACGAACAAACTTTATTTTCAAAGGGTTACAAATTAGGCACGCAGGCCTGTCTTACATTCGGCCCTTCCAAACTTCCATCTTTTGCACAGCAGTTGTATTTCATCAATGAAGCATGTTATATTTATGTAATAATATGCATATTAAATATACAAAGTCAAAAACCAAAGCATGTGTGGTAAAATATGTGCGCACGCTCACACGCGAACACACACACCCACATACCCACACAAGCCAAATCACTCACTCACACACAAACACATAGACAACCAGTACACACTTACATCTACATACATACGAACATGCACACATACATACATACATGCATACATACATAACATACAAACTCACATAATACATACACACACACATAATACATACACACACACATACATACATATAGTATAAAAATCGAGCGCAGTCAACGGAACCAGACAAACAATAGCAACCAAATAGAAAGCTACTAATAAAAAGGGACACCCCCCCCCCCCCCCCTTTATGTAAAGATTTATAGTTTCTGATTGTCGTATCGATGCAAAATTATTTTAGAACATGTTTCGCAGGGGCAGGAGGGAAACAACCATCATCTTTCCTAAAAAAGAAATGCATAGTTGTTTGGCACAGATATTCTGTTCTACTATTCGTTCATTCATTCATTCAGTAGCATGTCCCTCGCGGAACCTCGCTGCCATAACAACCCTCCGGAAAACCTTCCTATCCTGAGCAAGATGTCCTGCGTCTGATACACCCATCTGGAGATCATCTGCCACATCCTGCACCCATCTTCTCCTTGGCCTTCCTCTTCCTCTCTTCCCAGGCATATACCCCTCCATTATTGTTCTCTCTAGACTTCCATGACGTTTCAAGTGACCAAAATATTTCAATTTTCTTTGTTTTATTGTCTTTACTAGCCAACCCTCTTCAATATTCAGCTCTTGAAGTATGGATGCATTTGTTCTTTTCTTTACCCAAGATATTCTTAGAACCTGTCTGTAACATTTATATTCAAATGCATTTATGCGCTGTTCCGCTTGTTTAGTAAGTGTCCAGGTCTCACAGGCGTATGTTGCAATGGGAAAGATGCATGCTCTTAAAAATCTGACCTTTGTAGTTCTATCTGTACAATTCCATAATTTATTCAGTTGTTTTAGTCTTTGAAGAGCAATTGATAGTCGCCGTTTAATTTCTTTCATTGTGTCGCCATTGTTGGTAACCAGTGACCCAAGATATTCGAAATTTTCCACCACTTCCAATCTTTCCTCATTAACATATATTTCCTTCTCCATGGCAGTTTTGTTTGTATGCATTATCTTTGTTTTTGCTATGTTAAGAAATAAGTTATGATTTTCACTATTTCTTTGGAGTGAGGTTAATAAGTTTTCTAAACCCTTTTGTGATGTTGATAGTAATACTGTATCATCAGCATAACGAATTTCTGGTATTTCATGACCACCGATGTTTAGGGCATCATATTGTTCCTTGTTTATATCATCTCTTACATTTCTCATTATATTTTTGGCGTACAGGTTGAACAAATACGGTGACAGCACACATCCCTGACGGACTCCTTGCTTGATGCCAAACCAGTCTGATGTCTCTCCATCTATTCTGACTGCTGCTTGTTGGTCTTTACAGAGCATTTTAATGAGCTGCACTATATGTGATGGAAAGCCCATATTCCTCATGATTTCCCAAAGCTTCTGATGTTGTACACAGTCAAATGCTTTTGAATAATCCACAAAACATAAGAACAGATTTACATTAAATTCTCTACACTTCTCTATTATTAAACGCATGTTGAATATATGATCTCTTGTTCCTCTTCCCTGTCTAAATCCAGCCTGAGCTACATTAATCTCTTCTTCCATTTTCTTATGCAGTCTTCTCATTATAATTTTTAGTAGAATTTTACTTGCATGACTGATCAGGGCAATAGTTCGATAGTTTTTTATGATGCTGCTCTATTTTAATACAGTAATCTTGTACATACTTATTTTTATCCTTTTTTGTGTACTTTCTTATTTCTCGTGTTAAAAATTTATACTTCATCCTACTGTCATTGGTTTCTCCTTTCTTTTTTAGTTCCCTTCGTTGTTTTATTAGTTCTAACGTGTATGGTGTGATCCATGGTTTATGTTGCTTAGTCCTGGTGGGTATTAAGTCTTTAGCTGCTGTTATCAAGATATCCCTAGCTTGTACCGCCAGTTCATCAGGTGTCATTTCCTCTTGTACAGACATCAAGACCTCAAAACGGTTCTTCACTTCTACGTTGTATGCATCTGGTATTTTTGTGAGATCAAATCTAAATGGCCTTGGTCCTCGGGTAAGCTTTTTGAGTTTTAATTTCAGATCTGCTTCTAGTAACTGATGATCTGTATCGCAATCTGCACTTCGCAGGGTTTTTGCAGATGTTATGCTCGATCTCCATCTTCTTTGTATTAAAATGTAATCTATCTGGTTTTTGGTAACACCGTCAGGGGATGTCCATGTGAAAAGCCTTCTAGGGTGTTGTTTATAAAGTGTGTTAGCTATTGTTAATTCATTTTCTATGCAAAATTCAATCAATTTTTCTCCTGTTTCATTTCTATTACCCAATCCAAATTTTCCTAAAACGTGTCTCTCATTTTCAGCTCTGCCTGTACCTACTTTAGCATTAAAATCTCCCATTATTATTATTATATCATTCTGATTAATTTTATTTAATGTGTCTTGCAGTATGGCATAAAAATCTTCAATTTCGCCCTCCTCTGCTGTTGAAGTTGGTGCATATACCTGCATGAAAGTTATGTTTTTTGGACGGCCTTTAAGTCTGATAGTTAGGATTCTATCACTAACTGGATTATATCCCATAATAGCTTTTGCTGTTGTTTTATCTAAACAAAATGCCACTCGCTCTGGCCTCTTACATCTCTACCAGAATATACGAAAAAGCTTCCATATTCATTGATAAAATGTCCCTTGCCACTCCAACGATGTTCACAAATTCCTAAGATCTGAATATTTAATCTTTCAATCTCATCACATACTACTTTAAGCTTTCCTTCATACAGACTTCTCACATTCCACGTTCCTATTCGCATTCTGTTTCTTAGTCTGACACAGTGGATTTCCTTGGTAACACAGTCAGGATTAACTCCGTCATCACGATTACTAGTACTGACCCCTGTATCACACTCTTCCCCAGTGTTATCTGATCTGCCTGGCCTGGGGGTCTCGCCACCAGATCTCTTCTGTGTTATGTTTTCTTTCATGATTGTTATGGATTCTTGGCAAAATTTGCAGAAGGTAGTTTGCCGTTGCTTTCTACTATTCGTTACCACTCGTTAATTTATTGAATATTGTAGCCTCTGTAACAGGGGCTTTTCAAAGAAAGCAAATCTAACTTATTTGCTAGACTGTTGGTTCGCCGGGGAAATGGCTAAAAAATTTTATGTATAAAAATTCTTAGAAGAGAAAATGCTTTGCAATATTATCAACAAAAGTAAAATAGGAGTTACATTTAATGTAGAAAGCAAATATTTAAACAGATTTTAAATATTCTAAAATATGCATGTAAATACACTTAAAATTACGATAAAATTATATTAAAATACAAAATCCTTTAGAATCAAAGTCAAAACAATACATTTTATTTAGAATGCTATTTGTTTCCCTTGAAAAATTATTATTTCCCTTTAGTTTTTTGTGTGTCGAAAAAGGGCTTTTAAACAAATTTTTTTGGTAGATATGGACTGGGATCAAGATTTTAATTTTTTTAGCTTGATATCTGAATCGTTATTTATCTTTTCAACATATTATAAAGCATTTTATTAGCATATCCGGGGAGTGGGAATTGCCCTACACCCGGTGACAAATTCAAAAGACCCCTATTTTTGGAATTTCGGCTTTTCTCGAAAAAATCTTTCTGCATGTCAATTTTCTCCCCTGAGTAAAACTCGGTTGAATAGCCCTGGTATAGAGTATACAGCGGTATTAATGTGGGGACAACATCAGCAGATGGACGAACTGCAGTCTGCGAGAGTATAATACCACGACGAGAGACTGAGATTGTTGAACAACTGTAGCTAACGTTATTTGTGTTTAGTTGTAAGATTACCCTGTTCAGTCTTTAAAAAAAATTATGTGCCGTCTCCATAGTGGAGATTGGTTACTGTGTTGCCCTTAGAGAATATCACGTTGCCGGCCGCAATCTCTTCCAGGGTGCAACTCTCGTACCGTTGTCCCAAAACAACAAGAATGGGCTCAGCGTTAAAGAAAATAAGGAGCGGCTGGCCGAACGGTGTTACACTGGGCTCTTAAGCGAAAGACCCGGGTTCGAATCTGAAATAGAGACCCAGGCAGATCCAAGATACCCTGTTTAACTTCGTAAGAGGGTATAATTAGGGCACCCTTCATGGCTGCAATAGCCAGGTCTAACTTTCGGTATTGTGTAGGAAAGGATGAACACTCGACACCGGTGTTCACTGGTATTCGACCTAAGCTTCGTTAAAATAAATTTCTTTAACCAATGGTGCCATCTCAGTGGTTTGAAATGAATCCTGTCCATATTCCATGGTTGTGGATTTTAATCTGTTCGATAGACAAGGTCAACGAAGACACATTTTTTAGGGGTGCCTAGTTGGTCACGTTCTACAAACATTTGGAGGTGATAGGTTCGATTCCAGGCACGGTAACTTTAGCTTTCGAATTGTATGTTGTCTAGTGTGTCCTTCTATCTTTCAGTACATATATATATATATATATATATAATATGTATATAGCCTCAAAGGTTCCCGTTTGTCTATTTATGTGGACTACATACAGTCTGGTAACAGAAGAAAGTGACCATTTTAGATAATTGTTTCGCAAATGAAATAATTCAGTTATCGTAATTTTGTAGCTGCCTGTAATGGTAAACTTCCGTTCATGCTGTGAGAAACGATGGCGCAAGGTAAATTTAAGAGCCCGAAAATTCAGGTACCCGGACAAAAGGACAAGGGTGCTAGAAAAAAACAACCTTTTATTAAAAAGGGTAAGTATTCTGTTTAAATGTTTAGTGCTTGTGTCAAAAAAAAAAAAAAAAAAAGTTACTAAAGAGAGGTGTAAAAAACTGAGCGTGTCTTCTTCAACTTCTTCCTCCGCTTCGCAAGCTCTAGAGATCTGATCACAGTGATGAGGAATAATTGAATAATTGGCCATCTTGAACTTGAAGGGCTTCCTAAATAACAGTCCCAAATTATTGAAGCCGAAAATATACCCCTAATACTACTAACAGGGCCTCAGTCACGTGTCAATTGCGGAATTCCGACGCCGCTACGTGGATGATTGGGGCTAAACTCTCTAAACAGTTAGGATGGCTTGGACTCACGAGCAAATAAAAAGAATGAAGCTACAGACTACAGGAGATGCGGTGGCTGCTGCTTGTGAGGCCCAGCCATCTAGTTTAGCTGAAATACACGCCGCACCTAGCGGCGTGGGTGATACTCTCGGTGGTGGTGGTAGTCGCCGGAAGTTCGCAATTGACATGTGACTGAGGTACTGTTAGGGTATATTTTCGGCCTCGATAATTTGGGACCGTTATTCAGAAGATAGCCAAATAATTATAATATTAGAATACTGCTACAAACAAAAATTGTGTTAGCATTTAATTATTAGTGGACATCCTCCGAATAACGCCCACATATTATAGCAGCGACAAAAACACCCTAACAGGGCCTCAGTCACATGTAAATTGCGGTCTTCCGGCAACTTAAATTGCGCACTTCCGGCGACTACCGCCACCGAGGAGAGTATCTCCCATGCTGCTACATGCAGCGTGGGTTGGGGCTAAACTAGATGTCTAGGACTCACGAGCAGCAGCTTCCACATCTCCTGCAGCTTTGCTCGTGAGTCCCAGCCTTCCAGTTTAGCCCTAATCCATGCCGCGTGAAGCTGCGTGGGAGATACTCTCGGCGGTAGTGGTATAGTACCCGGAAGTCTGCAATTTACATGTGACTGAGGTCCTGTTTTTGGCCGCCATAATATGTGGCAGTTATTCAGAGGATACCCTTATTAGTAAATAAACAGATGGTATGTTTCCAGAAATTAGTAAAAAGAAATTATAATTGTTTCACTTACCACGTCACCCAGGGAAGGAACACTCGATAAAATATCCTCCAAATAACGGCCACGTATTATGGCGGCCAAAAACAGGGCCTCAGTCACATGTAAATTGCGGACTTCCTGCGACTTAAATTGCGGACTTCCTGCGACTACTGCCACTGCCGAGAGTATCTCCCGCTCCACGTATAGGAGAGCGGGGGCTTAACTAGATGGCTGGGACTCACGAGCAAAGCTGCAAGAGATGCGGAAGCCCCAGCCATCTAGTTTAGGTTCGCTCCACGGTGCAGAAGATACTCTCGGTGGTGGCGGTAGTCGCCGGAAGTCAGCAATTAAAGTTACAGAAAGTCCGCAAGTTACTTGTGACTAAACCACAGACCTACCAGCCACTACCTTTTCCTGAAGTCAAAACTCTCATTTAGAGAAAATCATAAACAGATGAGAAAACCAACACTGGTTATAACTACGAAAAAAAATTTCTCAAAGCTTTGGGAAAACCTAAGAGACCTTGAAAAGACATCCCAGTTTATGGCCCACAGTGGATTATGTGCATGACCAGAGATCGCTGAAGAAGACATGTGACTGAGGCCCTGTCAGGGTGTGTTACTGGTCGCCATAATATGTGGCCGTTATTTGGAGGATAGCCAATATATCATATCCAAAATGAAAAATTATCACAAATGAACCTGAATCACTTAGTATTCTATAAATAAATAAAAATAAAAAATAAACACAATCTGCCCATTAGATCTCGTTCCAGAGAAACTTTTAGAACATAACAAAGCACCTTTTCTTTTTATTTCGGGTAAAGTAAGAAAAATTAGGCTATCATCCAAATAACGGCCCCAAAATATCGAGCCTAAGAAAATAAATGGTGTTCACCATCTATAATCACAGATCAGTTCACATTTGTCCAAAGCCGCCCTAGTCTTCTGCAATTCACTTATTCTGTCAAGCTTGCTTTATGAGTTTCATCTGTCTCGAGGGCACTAATATAATCTTTGCATTTTTGCCAGAAACACATTTCTGCTGCTTTTATGTTTTTTCCCTCTTATTTATCTGCTATCACATGCATGCAACCTAGGGTGACCACAATATCTGAAATTCCAATAATGTTTAGCAGGCATATCAAACAAGAGTCTAATGAGGGCTGTATGGTTCAGTTTTGTTGTCATGGGGGCCACACATAATTGTTTGGAGTCATTTAATACAAATTATTGCGGAATGTTTTCTTTTTGCAGGCCGCAGGTTAAACATGCCTGCTATATAGTATTTTAACACCCTTGACCTTCACTGCATCTTTATATTGATGAATGTCTTTTGCGTCTTGCTAGAGGCCACTTTTACCATGACAATTCTTTTTCTAATTTTTACAAGGCATCTTGCATCAGGTTCCAGTACAATGTACAAATTAATTATTTAACCCTTTCAGCCGGAAAAATCTTTGGAGGGAAAAGCCCAAAACCTGTAATTTCAGGAAAAAGGTCCTTTAAAAATGTTTCAAGGACACTTATAAATTTTGTAAAAATTATAATTTAATATATAGATGGCTGGAGAATTCTTCTTCAGCATTCTGAGCTCTTGAGGTTCATTGCTGCAGATATCACCCACCTCTTTTCATCTCTCTGGGTTAGCCTTCTCTTTCCAGTTGGTGACAGCAACTATTTGCCGGTGTGTCTGGACAGTATCTCTCCATTGTCTTCTTGGTCTGCCACCAATCGTCTCCCTTGTGTATACAGTTTTTACTTCTCTGTCATCTGACATTCGCTGATATCCAAGGCTGGAGAATTGGCCAGAGACTCTCAGACGGGCCGTGACGAGACAAACATTCTGTAAAGAAGCTGCTGATTGATAATAAGTTACCATTGTCAGTTAAATGTTATGATTGTAATATTCTGCAGTCTGTTATTTATTGAAACATGTATGTTGACATTTGATCTGTTGTTTGTGTTGTAGGTGCCATGAGCATAGCACCCAAGAAACAAAGACTATTGCAGCTGCAAAACTAAAGAAGGTGAGACCATCTAGTTAAACAAGTAAAATCAGTGCAATGATTTTTATGCTAAATTTGAAAATATAGACATCATTGCACCAGGTGCTCTCCCATGAAGCTTATTATCTGCAGAACAACTAGCTGCTTGCTAGGATTGTTGCACAAAGCATAGACTCCAAATGGATTTTCATAAATACTACATGCATGAACTAGACAGCCTGTTCACAATCTTCAGAACATGAGGTAAACAGCTTGACCACTTTACCACAGAGACCCCCTGACATTACATCAGTATGATTTATTTAATGAAGTTTAAAATAGTTTATTCTGGGGTTGTGGGAAGCATGCTGTTTAATGACTGATATAGGGGTGAAATTACAGTGCTTCACATGAACTGGGTAATGACAGGTAAATGGGTAAAAGGCTAGAGAGCAAGGTAAACTTGGTAGTGACAGTTGGTGGGGCCATTATTTGATTAAAATTGATCGCGTGTGCAACTGCTGATCTTTTGGTGACTTCTGCTACCATCAATGATGAACTGCATTTCTAACGTCAGACTGTTTTTGTTAGCACTTCGGATGGCTCCCATATGCTTTTAATGCGAGTGTATGCTAGATTTGCTGAGACAGCAGTTTGTCAGTCTTTCCACAAGGGACTGATAAACATTCTGTGTGTTTTTCGTTGGCACAGGAGCAGAGCAAAGATGGGGTGACCCGTTTGCTATGAAGCTGAAATTAAAATTACCAGATACACTAGGTAATGACAGGTGAAGGGGTGAAAGGCCAGAGATCAACATAAACTAGGTAATGACAGGTGAAGAGAAAAACTGACAGAGGTCAGCATAAACTAGGAAAGGACATGAAAAGGGGTGAAATGACAGAAGTCAGCATAAACTGGGTCATGACATTATGAGACTTGGTGTTATGATGTTCTATTGTCTTTGCCAGCAAGTGTTTTTTTTTAAAAATAGTGAAATAGTTATGAACAGCCGAGAGAAACATTGGTGCAAGTCAAACTTTGCGGGTGAATTACAAAAGACAGTGAAGTTCATACAACATTGCAGATATAGATAAGAAGAAGTTTTAAACAGCTAATTTCACCATTCTCTACATCAGTAGTATTCCTGTGGGAAGTTTAGAAAAATTCTTTTCCTGTAGCTGTTGGGTAGTGGTAGCAGTCAGAAGTGTTGATGAAAGCAGCAGTTACAACAGATCAGTAGCTGCGCATTCAATTTATCGCATAAGGCACCACAAGTTCCCTGGCCAGTCCACTCCCCCTTTTTCTGAATGTGCAGTTCACATCACAAGCCACATTGGGCACAGAAAAATATTCTAAATGAAATCAGCTGCTTCTGCATTGCATCCTGCACTCAGCTCAGTAGATAGCAGACTGAACTATATCATTTTAGTCTAATATGGAGAAAAAATGCAACAGCTAACTATTGTCAGATGCAAGAACTTACCAGTACTAAATATAGTAAACCAATTATCCACCATACTAACTGGAAATGTATCCATATATCCACTGCAGTCAAATTCCATTGTGGGGGTGCTCTGTGTAGAGTAGCAATGATCACTTCAGAGATAAAAAAAAAAAGGTAGTGTCCTTTGGATATTTTTCCAAGGTATGCAGGTTTGTTAGGAAACAAACTTGCAATTAGATTGGTTGGTTCTGCACCCCTTGATGGTAAACTGATGAATGACAAGTTGCATTACCTACAGGCCAATCAGCTTGCTCATTTTCTGGCACAAATGTGAATCTGATATATGACTCAACCATTCTAGAGACTCCAGTCACTGTCTTCAGACCTAGCCCTTCTTTCTCTCTTCCTGACCATACTCATTGAGTTACTAAAAGAGCATACACGGTGAAACATCTGTGTCTCCAGCCATGTTATTGCTTTGGTTGGTGACTGCCATGACCTCTATAGTCAGAGTACTTGTGGTCGAGGCAACAGCACCAGAGTCTTGCTTCACAAGTCTAACACCAACTGTTAAAGCACAAGCACTTCTCACACAGCGAATTACAGACCCATGTGTAAATGACAGCATCCCCCTGTAGAGAATTCTAAAAAATCAAAGCCTGCACTTTTGCATCAACAGAGCGGCCAGACTTTCTTGTCTGCATTTTCTGTCTAGTCGGATGCAAACAGAAAAGGTCGTACAGCACTCTGTTGGTACTTGTACGCATTTCTCACCAGGTTCTATGTCCTCAAGTGAACACATCTGCTGAATAATGTCCTTGACCTGACCCAACCACGATTTTCCTCTTTTTAACATGCTGCCTTTTTCTTTTTAATTTCACCATGCAGCGGATGTCGTGTGTTTGCGTTGACTCTGAGCTAAGCACCTGCTTTGTGAATTAAAAAATTTTCCTCCATGATTGAAAAATTTAGAAGTTAGCGCATCACCCTGCATGCTGTATCTCTTGTACTTCCAAGTATAATGCGCAAAGCCTTGTTCTGTATCCTTTCCATTCTCTCCATCTGCTTATGGCTGAGAGTCAGGATCGCCATCGCATACCAGGCCCTGATATAAAACATAAATGACACTGTTCACAATTTGCTGCAGCCACCACTTTCATTGCAGCCAAACCCGATTGGCTTTTTTTAAATCACATGGTCTATGTGCTCAGTATAAGCAAAGGCTTTGATCAACTCGTATCCCCAAGTACTTCATTGCCTGTGTTATTTCCACAATCTCTGAGCATAGATTTACAGTTGACGTTGAGATGTTGACAATATGGTTATTCAAAGAGAACTACATCACTGCTGCCTTCGTTGGATTAACCAGTGCACAAGCTTTACCACACCAGATATGATCTTTCTATTATCCTCTTGGTCTGACTCAAGTTTTACGACCATTCAGCTCCTTTGTATATACATTTTTTTTAACCTCTTCATCTGACATTCTCTCAACATGCACTGGCTATATTTGTTTTTTAGCTTTATTGATGCCAGTGATCAGTGGTGGTTTAAACAGATTACTATTTTGTTGTTGCTTCTGTCTCTTCATTCCCTACTGTTTGCATCCTTGATTGAAAGATAAATATAAAAAGTTAATATTTTTTCTCCACAGGGTCTAGAAAAGGGAATCAGAGCATGCATCGAAGATGAACTAACAGCTAAAACAGTTGCATTAGAGCCTCGGTCCCTCTCTATGCTCAAACCTTCTACATCCAAGGGAAAATCAAACACCAAGGGGAAATCAAATACTAAGGGAAAATCAAATAAATCTTGATTAATGTTTGCACCCTCTTTGTGACTTTGTTTTCCATTATGTTGACGTATTTTAAAGTTGTCTTTAATAAAAGTGCTTAGAATATACCTTGTTTCTGAGGTAAACATTGAGAAGGTTTAACTGTTTTAGTTTCGTCATAAATTCAGAATATGTGAGAAAGGGGAAAATACAGTAACACATGGAGAGTTTCATAAACACGCAGAAACTCTTTAGCGCAAATGAAAATTCAAATGTGTAAACCAGATTCACATGTGCTATAAATCATTCATGAATATTTCCTTGATTGTACATCACATATTAATAATATACATACAGGAGAGAGAGGAAGGTCTAAATTTTACAAACTTACAAAAGAGGTTATAGATGTTCGGTATAGCTGCTGCTTTGCAAACATGTTATCATAAGCCGAGCTCATCACACACAGGAAGAAGCATCTCTTGCGTGAGTTCACTGCAGCTGCGATTTAGTTCTGCAGGTCAGCTCTGCGCTCTAGAAGCAGTAATTTAAACTTTAGACGTTCCCCTCTGTCTTGTAAGTGCCTTGTCAACTGGCATAGGCGTTCATGGATCTCCATAGATCTTGATCTTTGGTGTATTGGATCAATTCCACTGATAATATTCCTCCATGCCACTGTCTTAAGTCTTCAGTCTGCCTCTTCTACCAGTGATCTTTCCAGTACTCCTTTTCTCATCACATGGCTAAAGAAAACCTCATTATTGTGTATGGTGTTCTACTTTCATTAGCCATTTTCATGCAATCATTGTTAGTTATTCTGGCAGTCCAAGGTATTTGCAACATTCTTCTCAAGAACCACATCTCAGCTGCCTCCAAACTATTCTTAATTTTTTTTGCTAACATGCCAAGATTCACTGCCATACTGTAACATTTCAGTACTAATGTTATCCCGTACGAGCACCCATTTATCTGTCAGGAACCTAATCTACTCTAATTATTTTATATGGCTCGCTAGGTAGGCCAGCTGACAGACTTAACTACACAGACACACCTAAGACAACACTCCTGCTGAGTACAAACATAATCTTTAATGTACAATGAACAATAAGACACTTCAACTGGGCTAAGCAGTTCCCATCCGAAACTGCCTGACGATGACAGCTTTACACTCACTAGTCAACCCAGGCCAGTTCCCATGGATCTAGGGAGCACGACTCTTAGCTGACAGTTTCTCTGCCAATCAATCCGCCGTCTATTGCCAAACGGGACTCAGCGATACACGTAAGGTGTATGGCCTAAGCGTGACCGGGCAGTGTTATCGCCATTACAATGTGCGTCACCTTGATTAACTGCTCAAACAAATACTGCATGGAATGTCTACTACACAAAGAACCTTAACGCTATATTATCTAGTCTAAACATTAAATAGAAACACAGCCTATCGTCAATACCGCATATAAATACCCTATTATACCTAACCGCCACTAAACCTAATTCTTACATAGTCACTTGTACCGTCTTGTCTCTCTGTCTCCCAGCACACAACTGTCCCAAAACCAACTCAGACAAAGCCTTTTGTATTTCCTCCTGAGTTCATGGCTTAACACGCAGCAATCCGTGTGAACTGGACCTGGCCTGTTAATTGGACCTAGTTCATTGCGTGGCCACCCTGTCCGCTCTCATACTGAGGTCAACTCGTACAAACGTGATGATACACTATCATCTGTGGTGTTTCCCATAGCCGAACTGGCCTCTGACAGCCTCCTTCCCGACTAAATCATTTGCCTACAGAATGTGTAATGTGGTGAGGAGGGCATGATCTGGGGGTACCCCAATGTTTTCAAAGTAACTAGGGGCCTTAAGAGGTCTGCGCCCCCACCCAATGCTTGTCTGTTTGGTGAGGGGGAAAATGAGAAGAGTCGCCACTGAAGAACAATGGTAGGCACAGTACCTGTAAATGATTTCATAGATCATCAAAGAATCAAATGGTTTGGTCAAAATCAGCCAGCAACTAGAGTGTACTACATGAGAACAACAGGCTACAAGGCAAGAGGCCGACCAAGAAAGATACAGATGGAGGGAGTAAAAGAGACACTACAGGGATGCAATATGACATTAACACAAGCTACGCAGTTAGTGGAAATTACATCTGTGCGAAGTCTTACGGCACAAGCAGTAGGACGTGGTCGGGTTAAACCCTAGCTCAGTCCTTTCCCCCAGTGTTAACTTCGTGGCGGAGCTCCTGTTTAAAAATTGTTTTTCTGAGCATGGTCTAACCACAAACCTGAATCATAATTGGTTTTGTGTACCTGTTTAGTCTCATCTAATGCAAACCAGATTATAAAATAAGTTCTCCTTCCAGTTATCCCAGTGAAGTGTTTAGGGAGACGTAAAGGTCGCCTCTATGCTCTTTCTTATGTATTGTTGGTCTTCATTTCTACAGTGTTGTTCTTGATGTCATCTTTCCAGATTTTTCATGACCATCCCCTGGTTCTATGTTAATAATATTTATTTGGTGCAGTTATTGAATGTAAATAAGATCTTTTCCAAATTAAAAGTGTATGTGCTTTTAGCTAAAGCAAAACAATTGTGGGTATAATAGTACATTCAATGACAATACCACATTGTATGTACTTTTTGTTTTGTTTTATAGCTAGACGATGGTGTCATGCATACAGATGCCGAGTTCAAATGTTGGGTTCTTTTCCCCTGTGTGGGTTCCAGGGCCCCATTCTGGAAGGAAAAAAAAATATACCCACTGCCTCTTTAACAAGCATATCATTCAAGGCGGCTAATTAGTGAAGTTTCCCTCAAAGTCTGAGTGATCTGCATGTCAAGGAACTACAATCTACGTACAAATAAGCCAGATGTGTAAAGCGTTTGTGCCCACAAACTACAAGTTCTGGAATAAGATCAGTGTAGATATTGATGAATAACCAGGATTTTCTATCAGTTAACCAGCGAACGCTAAGACGAAGAAAATGCTGGGTCCAGTATCAAGTGCTCTGCTTGGACAAGTATCAAGTGCTCTGCTGGGTCCACTATTAAGTGCTCTACTGGGGCCAGTATCAAGTGCTCTGCTGGGTCCAGTATCAAGTGCTCTGCTGGGTCCAGTATTAACTCTGCTGTGTCTTCACCTTTCCCCGTTGTATCTATGAGCATCAGTCATTTCTCTCAAATGATTGTAACTCCTTAGTCACTAAGAGTCTTATTCTAATTCCTGTAGTAAAAGTTCATTCAGTTACACCACAAAAGGATCAACTACTGGGAAAACCACAGTCACCAAAACAACAGAAGATTGTGAATGGTTATCCAAAGCCTAAGACAAGTTACTTGTAACCGCAGTGAGCCCCATCAGAGCTATTTCATACTTCTGAACAGGGTGTCCTGGAGTTTGCATCTCTTAGATTTGCATCCGAAAAGTAGTTCCCTGAGTCAGCTTGTTGTCAGTCTTTCAGGCTGAAATCCCGGAAAAAACATCCATCAATTTCATTTTATTCTCAGAGGAAAAGCGAGGCAGTGCAAACATTTAATCAAACTGCTACTAGGACCATTGGAATTGGAACTTCGCTGGCTGATGAAGTTGAGGACAGGATATTTATGGGAATGTACCGAGTGCATTGATGTCAGTTCTTAGCTCACATCTGAACAGCTCAACACTTAACAACCCATCTAGGTATCACACAGGAAAGGCCGTTGGGGGTGGAGGCATACTGACTAGCATTTATTTCCACTGCAAGACATCAACATGGCTGCTTCGGAATAGGTCAGTTAAGTGCATTTGTATGTTTTTTTGGTGTTTTTTGTTATTTACACATGTGATGATAAAGGCTCTATAGCCGCAGCGTACACGTTTCGGGTGTGATATTGTGAAGCTCGCAGATCTACTTGTCGTTTGGTTTTATATCTTTCCATAGCATTTATTTAGTGGTGCAACAGGAGAAGGTTGTCTAGGACTCACTTCATTTTGTAGATGATTTACTTATTTATTTTTGTAGATGACTTACGATTTACTTTTGTAGAAGACTTACTTCTTTTTGTAGGTGACTTACTTCTTTGTGTGGATGACTTATTTCTTTCTGTAGATGACTGAAATCGTTTTGTAGATGACTTACTTCTTTTTGTAGATGACTTAAATTGTTTTGAAGATGACATACTTCTTTTTGTAGATGACATACTTCTTTTTATAGATGACTCACTTATTTTTGTAGATGACCAGTGTCAAATACACCACCAAGAACATAATTTAGAACGTCATATTGACCCCTTACATCAAGCCTGCTCAAAGTATGATATGAGAATAAACACTGCGAAAACTGAGGTAATGAGGATAGGCAGGAAACATAATATCATGAAAGTTCATGGTAACGGTACTACAAACAAGTATGAGAATTAAAATATCTAGGAAGCATATTTACGGGGGTGGCAGACTCGAAAGAGATAGAAGCTAGAGTACTGAAGGCAAATGCTGTCACCTACTGCATAGACACCCAAATGTCTCCCTTCCAGTAAAACAGCAAATGATTAATAGCATCTTTATCCTCACTTTGTTATCAGTGCCAAACATGGACAATGAATAAGGCACTTGAACAGAAAATAACTACATGTGAAATGCGCTGTCTCCGCAAGGTCACTAACAACACTATACGAAACAGGGTTACGAATACCACCATTAGAGAGAAAGTTGGAATGAGACCATGTCTGGATTATATTGACAAAGAATGAAATGGTTCGACCATCTAGTGAGAATGCAGCCAGACCAGACTGCATATGAGACTTTTTACAGTAGAACATCTGGGAGGAAGGTGAGAGGAGGACCAAGAAAGAGATGGATAAATGGTGTAGATGAAACCTATCAAAAGTTGAACAAATCTATCAAGCCACCTGAGAAGCGCATGACGAATACAGAAAACCACAACACTGGGCTACAACCTGGTTACAGTGAGACGACAAAACCACAACACTGGGTTACAACCTGGTAACAGTGAGACAACAAAAGAAGAAAGAAAAAGTTTAGGGCTTAGGGCAGCGGTTCACAACATGTGGGTCGCGACCCTTTTTGGGGGTCGAACGACCATTTCACAGAGGTCGCCCAAGACCATTGGAAAAAACTATTCACTGACATTATGAAGTAACAACGAAAATAATTCTGAGGTTGGTGGTCACCACAACATAAGGAACTGAAATAAAGGGGCGCGGCATTAGGCTAGTTGAGAGCCACTAACTTCAGGGATTGACCCGCATTCTTAGAGGATAACAGACGAGAAATGTGTATGTCGTTCCAAGACCGTACAACCAGCGACCAACACCCGGTGGCACACAGTGCCACCATTCGGATGAGGATCACCCGGGCACAAGTCTAAGAACAGTTAGGTTATATTAGGGCACCCGACAACTGCCGGAGTAGGGCTTTGAAATAACGAAAAATTGTCTCCCATATTGAGAAGGATTTTTATTTATAATTCATTAGATAGACAGGAATATACAACAGAAACTAATGTACACAGCTAAATCCAGACCTACTCTCATTAATTCTCATAGTGGGTGTGGCGTCATGCATGATGACCATACATAACACAATTGTTTACTTGAAAATACCACCCGCTTTGTGATCTTTTTCCACAAATAACAAAACATAAGTTTAAACTAATTAACAACGACATGTTCAACCAAGATCTGTTACAAACAAGTTATTGTCGAAATTTGTTATAATTATGCATTGGCCGCAGTTGCAAGGAAACTTATCATTAGCTCGAAACGCCTAACTGGCATATCATGTTTCAAGATTGGTATTAGGTGCCAGGGCTGCCAACACTAGGGTTTTTCCTCAAGATCTAGGTTTTTTTAAAATGACGCCTTGGGTTGAGATTTTTGGAATCTTTTATTTAAATATATCAGTTTATAAAGTGGGTAAATGTTTCGTTTCGTAACTATAAAATGTGTACTAAATGTATTTATCCATCTTGGGTTTTTTCTTTGCTATTTATTGAGTTATGAGTTAGATTATCTTCACAGCACTTCAGACACATCCATAGGCTCTCAGATTCCCCTCTCAACATCATCATCAGTGTCGTGCGGATTAATAGCACTGGTCCTATGTTGGTTAACAAGACTTCGTGTACATCCGGTGTGCTTCTCATGCTTGGCTGTGCCTATCTTTACTCACAATTCGCGTATTCTTAGCAGTGATGTGGACATGTTGCTTCCAAAATCACCAGAACGTCATAGCCTATCTCTCTAAGGGCAATAGTTAGTTCAGTCAAGAATTGACATCACAACACTCTGGGCATTCTCATGCTTGCTCTATCCTCATCTTCAGCAGCCAGCCCAGAGTTCCAATACTGGTGGTACCGGTTACAATCTGGTTATATGTCCGTCTCGCCTTTCCTCTGAGTGTAGCGAGTTGGCCTTACACTCTGGTTACACTCAGGTGCCTCATTCTCTCCAGGCCATAATAATCTTGTTTCTTTATTGATTCCGTTACTTGTTCCTTAAGGGCCTTGTCATGCATCAGTTCACCACCCAGTCGTGCAGATCTAAGGACCATGACAATGTCATTGTATTAAACTATTGTGTATTGCTTGGGTTTTTGGTCAGCTTAGCTTGGGTTTTGATACAAATCCAATTGGCAGCCCTGTTTGGTACTGCTATTTAACAAAATTGGAAGCTTCATAAAATATTTATATACTTTTAGAAAATTGAGTGCTTTATATCGCCATGGCCATCGACATCGGCCTACGGTCGGTGATTGAATATATAGCAAACCGCCCGTCACTGCTATGTTATGCATTCCTCACTTATGTGACAGTATATTTTGCAACTGTTATCCTGTTCGGGAGAAAGAAAGGGAGGAACCCGCTTCAACATGACCACAGAAGATCGCCGGAACCATTCGTTCATGATACAAAGTTGCGGGACGCCGTTCTCAAAGATAGTGAGTGATTAACGCAGTCTTGGGTGGTTCGTTTTAATTACTTTCCCCAGCTAACGGTACAAATCACACCGGGAAGTTAAGATTGACGGGGAAAACCCTCAACTCTTCTGGGGACTGGAGGGTTTAGCATGGCAGGATCCCTCCCCTCACCCAGATGAAGTTTAGCCTATAACAAATGCAGCGCATTAAAGCAGACCCTACAACTGCAACTGATTGGAACATACACATATAAATGAACAAATGGTTGGGGATTAATATTGGAATGCTGCTACAACATAACAATTATTTGATGCTGCAGGTTAACCCTTTGGAGACTGAACCTTTTTAGATTTTTCAGTGACAGAAAGATGGAAACCTTCAGCAGGGGATTCTCTGAATGTACACACACACAAAATTATTTTAAGTAATGTATACAAAAACTCTCTCTCTCTCTCTCTCTCTCTCTCTCTCTCTCTCTCTCTCTCTAATATATATTAATATATATATATATATATATATATATATATATATATATATATATATATATATATATGTGTGTGTGTGTGTGTGTGTGTGTGTATAGGAAATTGAAAGAGCTAACAGAATATTTAGGAATCAAACTGAAATCTCAAAATTTATTAAAATTAACTGTTGGGATCTGCATAATTCAGGCAGACTTCTGGCATATGATTCTACTCCTTTTCCTGCCTACTGCTATGTTTTGGTTGCTTAAGTTGAGTTGAGTCAAGAATTGACATCACAGCAATCAGGGAATTCCCATGCATGTTTCGGTTGCTATGGCACAACAGTCATTTTGGCCATTGTTGCGCACAGGTAGCCCCATACAAGAAAATGGATGTAAAATTATAGAACACATCAAACTCTCTCGAAAGCCATCATTGAGGGGCCCACATGAGCAAGAAATGTGAAAAGCAATCCAATTGGCTAGTTCGAAAACCTATCAGTCGATTTCAAGCTTTTATTTTATAGGATCTACCGATCAGCCCATTTGTCTTTTTGACTATTTTGTGTCAGAACAATAAATAGGCTGTGTCATATCTGAATGGTTAATAATTAGCATAAGAAACAACTGACTTGCTTTGAGAGATTGGTAAATTATGGACATGTTTTTTTCCACTTACACAAAGGCTACTGTAGAGAAAATCTTGACATGATATATACAAAAATAAGTTACAAACTAATCATTTAAAAGTATTCACAGTCAGTATTAAAGCAATATGTGTAGTAGTTTTTGTTCCAAAACATTTTTTATAATAATACTAAAACGCAACTAAATATTTTTCGCAATGGCACGAACTGTGACTCCCTGCCCTACATATGTATAAATGAGTGTGTGTGTATGTATATTTATTCTCATTATTCACACTTAAGAAAAGTTTGCTTTTGCCTTTACTGTATAGACTGTTGTTTAAACTATCTTCTTCTCTCGGCTATAGGATTCAAGGCCAGTAAAATACCTGCACATTTAGATGTCATCATTATCGGCAGTGGTATAGGAGGTCTTGGAGCTGCTGCTCTTCTCACGAGAGCTGGTAAGAGAGTTCTTGTGCTGGAGCAGCATGATCAGGTTGGAGGATGTTGCCATACATTTGTGGAGAAAGGATTTGAATTTGATACCGGTACGTTGTGTACAGTTCCTTAATTTTATGTAAAAAAAAAATTATTTTTATTTGTGTCTCTCCTGATTTGCATTCTTTAAGATACACATTTCGAGGATAAGAACCAAGCAGTTACTACTTCTTCTTCTTCTTCTTTCGTTCGCTTGAAATAGATTATCTGTATCTGCATTATTGTCTCTAGTATGTACTTTACTGTCTTTTATTATTCAATCAGCAACCCATAAAGTTTGGCTTTCCCCAGTGTTTCATCTTGGCCAACAGTTTTGTCTTCTTCTTCATCTTGGCATTCACCAGCTGTAAACTCTGGCCGAAAGTTGTGGTTGTTCGTCCACTTCTGGACTGCAGTCCTGTTCCAGAATCCGAGTGCTTGCGCGTGCATCCGTTTTACAGATCTGACTCTTTTGAATGCAGACTGCTGGTTCCTTGCCTCTCAGGCAGTTGCACTCCCACTTCGAAGTAAGCTCCCAATTAGTCGACTCTTATGACACCCCTGAGACCATGTTCACCCATTTAACACAATTATATTGGGGCACCACAAAAGTGGTTGAATTTGGACAGTCTTGGAGGTCATAATCTGTTATCTTAAGTTCTAATCCACATGTACACATGGCTGATTCACCAGTCTTAAATTTTGTGTACATATGGCTGTGAAGTTGATTGTGTCCTGATCTAAGGTATGGAGCAATGACTTGCTCTTGTCTGTCCATTATATTGTAAATATTTTTTGCCGGGTTTGGCGACTTTCTGATTGATTTGATTATTCTCTTCTTCTGTTGATAAGAGACTGGTACGTCAAGCAGTTGCTAATCCCGGAGACCATGTTCACCCATATAACACAATTATATTGGGGCACCACAAAAGTGGTTGTATTTGGGACAGTCTTAGAGGGCATGATATGTTATCTCCGGTTCTAATCCACATGTACACATGGCTGATTCACCAATCTTAAATTTTGTGTACATGTGGTTGCAAGGTTGATTGTGTCCTGTTCTAAGGCATAGAACAGTGACTTGCTCTGGTCTGTCCATTATATGGTAAATGTTTTTTGCTGGGTTTGGCGACTTTCTGATTGATTATTCTCTTCTTTTGTTGATAAGAGACTGGTACGTCAAACAGCTGCTAATCCCCGAGACCATGTTCACCCATATAACACAATTATATTGGGGCACCACAGAATGGTAATGAAGTGACCAATGTGAGCGGGGCAGGCTTATGTTATCTCCGTTTCTATTCATGATGTAAAATGGCTGTAATACCTGTTTCTTAAATTTTGTGTAATTGTGGTTGCAAGGTTGATTTGTCCTGTTTTAAGGCATAGAACAGTGACTTGCTCTGGTTGGTTAATTCAGAAATTACCTGATTGATTATTCTCTTCTTTTGTTGAAAGAATACGTCAAACAGCTGCTTTTGAATATAACATGTATTGGGGCACAGAAAAATGAAGTGACCAATGTGAGCGGGGCAGGCTTAGTTTGTTAGTTATTCATGAATAAAATGGCTGTAATATCTGTTTGTGATAAAACTGTGAAATCGATTTTGACAGTTGTTTTTTTTTAGGTTAACACAGAAATTATTGAAACTAGTTCATCATCAAATGTCATCAAAAGATGACAAAAAATCCTGACATTTGACATGGTCTTAACATCGATGACAGTTTGTTGATGAACATCTTATTGAAACTCTTCTTCATCATCAGGTTTGCGATGGCCATGCAACATGCCTGTCCACAATCTGCGATCTCCTGGCAGCATGTCTTTCATGTGCTGACACACCTCCATGCCATCCTGTCAAGAAGAATCTTTCCTCTTCTTCCTCTATCCCTCCTTCCACAGATCTTTCCAGTGGTCATATCATGTTCCATTTTCCCTTTTCTCATAACATGGCTGAAAAATGATGACTGTCTCCTTCTCATGTATGTGATCAGTCTTTGGGCTTCCGCCTCTTTCAAAACCTCTTGATTGCTCTTTTTTTGGCTTAACTCAATCTCTCTCTCTCTCTCTCTCTCTCTCTCTCTCTCTCTCTCTCTCTCTCTGTCCCTCCCCCTCCCTCCCTCCCTCTCTCTCTCTCTCTCTCTCTCTCTCTCTCTCTCTCTCTCTCTCTATTTCTCTCTTTCTCTTAATATATTGGCCATATAACATGTCCCCCCCCCCATATACCTGATATGTCTAGAGGCATGAAAAGGGATCTTTACTTTACTTTTACATCATTATGACAGTTGAGGTATGGCTGACTCACTTTTGACATGTACCAAAGGGGATACTTTTATTATGACACTATGACATCACCATGTTTATCTGCACCATGATGTGTTTTATTGCAGTTTTTGTCAGTTTTAAGGTTTTTATTTGAAGCCATTTCATAAATGAATAGAAACTCAGTGCAAGTTGAAAATCTTCAGCTCTCTCAGACATCATCATTATCAGCAACATTGTGTGCCCTGCCAGATGCTATGGGCATCTTATATATCCGCTCTAGAGGCGTGAAAAGGAATCTTTAGTTTACTTTTACATCATTATGACAGTTGATTTTGGCTCGTACCAAAGGGAAGACTGTCTGTACTGTTTATCTGCACCATGATGTCACAGAAGATAGTGTTGAGAATCTGAGCTCTCTCAGATTATAAAAAAATATAGCTATGGGCAATTACCTCTCCACATATTTTGAAAAGATAGTCTGAAATTATAGAAAATTGAAAAATATTGAAATAATTTAGCCACCTAATATAAGAATGAACCCAATGATTCTGGCAGTTATAGCATGGAAACATCAAGTTGCAGATGGAGACCTAGAAAAATGGATGGATTAAGAGTCACTGACAACCTTAGAGTTCACATCACAGCATGGCAAGCAACTGAGTGTGCCCGGACACTGAGCAACTGTTAAACCAGTCACCTGTACAAAGCAGAAATTAAAACAAATAAAGAAGTTAAGGATGAATTCTGTTGGAAATAGTTCTCTGTTTAGCATTATTGCTGTTAGTTTGCCTAAACCTTCTCTACCTGTAATCTTTTTAGACTTCTTAGCGTTCAGTTGCTTTATAAACTTCTATGAAAAGTTTCTGGTTGTTCATCCACTCCTGGACTTTGACTTTGATCTGGAACTTGAATTTTGCGTGCACATCTGTTTTACAGTTCTGGCATATTTTGGCTGTAGGCTGTTGGTTCCTTTCCTCCTAGGCAGATGCACTCCGACTCTGGAAGGAAACACCCCTAATTAGTTGCCTCCTGTGACATGCTTATTAGGTGGGCAGTGGGTCTATTCTTTGTTTTCCAAAGTGGAGCCCAGGTGCCCACACAAGGAATCTTTCTAGTCATCACAGTGTTTGTCCGATAGCTCTCGTCTTATCACATGACTATTGAACACGGTTTCTTTTTTTATAGATGCATATAATGTTATATACTTAGCTATACTTAGTATTTTCAGAGCAGTCCTTTTCTTAGCTATCCTGGCACTTCTAAATACCCTTAACTGACAGAACATGTGAACTTCTAGTTATTGTTGCCATTGAGAGAACCAAATAACAGTGTAGCTGAAATGTCTTTGCACTGTAGAGATAAAACATAGAGACAGACTGGGAGACACATACAGAGGGGAACTGGAGAGTGGGAAGGACATGGGGTTAACTGCATATGGTGGTAAGAAATAGTTAAAGGGCAGTACAAAAAATAGATAAGTGTATGGGTGATAACTCACATCTGTATCTAATTTATACAATTTTTTTTTAAAAACTCTAGGCATTCACTACATTGGGCAAATGCATGAAGGCTCAATTCATCGAGTACTTCTGGATCAGCTCACTTCAGGTCAGCTCAGATGGACAAAACTAGATGATACTTATGACACTGTAAGTAAAATTGTAATGCTTGTTTTCTGTTTTCTTGATCCGTTTCACACCTCTTGGCACATCAAGCATACAGTGTAGTTTAAAAGACAGAAAGAAAATAAAACTTGAATGAGCTACTGTAACAATAGTGGTAATTCTTGTTATATTTAGGCAGATAATGAATTTAGGAGACCCAGGTTTGAATCCTTGGTAAAGCTGGGAATTTTTTTCTGTTCTCTTTTGGGTGCAAAAATAAAATCCTAGGCACAAACTGTGACACAACACTAGCTATGCAGCCCAGAATCCTGAGGCTCAGAGGCCCTCTGTCTCCACCATAAAATGGTCAATACAGGCAGTAAAGGCAGTAAGGAATTTATCATTTAAATGGACATATCCATAGATCAGATTGTTTGTAATAAAAGAAAGACCTGGATACAGAATTTGACTGAATGGACAGGTCTCAGAACGTCGAAACATCGAATCCATTGCATCTGACTGACAGGAGAAGGCAGCTTATCAGATAGTCATGTATAGCAACTGTTGACCTAGTGACAGGCAGTGTTATGGGACTCTGATAATCATTATTATTGTGCCCTTTGGAGACTGGCATGGGTGATGATTCTTGACAGATTTCCCCATGTGGGTTCCATGGCCCCATTGTGGGGACAACAAGAATAGACCCACTACCTCCCCAACAAGCAGTGTCATAGGAGTCAGCTAATTGGGGCCTTCATTCAAAGTCGGAGTGCATCTGCCCAATTGGAAAGGAACAACAAGCTACACACAAATAAGCCAGTAAAAAGGATGTACACGTAAAACTCACACCCCGACACAAAGCTAAAGTCCAAATGGACAAACAACCAGGACTTTCTGCCGGAGCTTACAGCCAGTGAGCAAATAAGAAGAAGAAAATTCTCAACATCTGTGTGGTCTACAACAAAAACTGTCAATCTCTGTGCTGATGACTGTCTGTACCATGACAAAAAGAATCAAGAATCAGAGTTTTTTCCTCATCACACTTCACTACTTACAACATTACTGTTCTTTCTACTCTTTTGGGCCCTGCATTCACACTGCACTTCTTACAACGTTACTGTTCTTTCTTCCCCTTTGGACCTTGCTATCATCATATACTACTTATAAATAATATTACTGTTTTTTCTTATCTTTTGGGCCCTGCTTTTGCACTGCTTACAACGTTACTGTTCCCTCTTCCCTTTTGGGCCCTGCTTTTACACTGCTTACAACATTACTGTTCTTTCTTCTCTTTTAGGCACTGCTTTTACACTGCTTACAACATTACTGTTCTTTCTTCTCTTTTGGGCCCTGCTATCACACTGCACTACTTACAACATTACTGTTCTTTCTTCTCTTTTGGGCCCTGCTATCACACTGCACTACTTACAACATTACTGTTATTTCTTCTCTTTTGGGCCCTGCTATCACACTGCACTACTTACAACATTACTGTTCTTTCTTCTCTTTTGGGCCCTGCTATCACACTACACTACTTACAACATTACTGTTCTTTCTTTCCCTTTGGGCCTTGCTATCACACCACACTACTTACAACATTACTGTTCTTTCTTTCCCTTTGGGCCTTGCTATCACACCACACTACTTACAACATTACTGTTCTTTCTTCTCTTTTTGGCTCTACTCTAACACTGCAGGGGTTTCCACAGCAAAGTGGTCAAGCCATTTGTCTTGCGGTCTGAAGGTCGCAGATTCTTTTTATGGCTGTGCTATCAAGTTCAGCAGAGTACAGAATTCGTGCTTTATGCGACGCTCTCAGCCATTCTGTGGAGAGATACCGAGCCATGTGGGATATAACCCAGTGCAATGAAGTTGATCCTCTTGACTTAACTATCACACTGAACTACTATAACATACAGTTATATCTTTGTTCTCATTACAGGCTGCTGTGGGTGGTTCCTCTACAACCAAATGGTTCCCCATGAAGTCAGGAAAGGAGAACTACTATAACATACAGTTATATCTTTGTTCTCATTACAGGTTGCTGTGGGTGGTTCCTCTACAACCAAATGGTTCCCCATGAAGTCAGGAAAGGATGAATATTATAACAATCTGATAAACTTGTTTCCAGATGAGAAGTCTGCAATACTTGCTTACAAAGATCTAGTCAAGGTATTATAATGATATGCTAATTAAGTATGTTAAAAGGGAAGAAATAACCAGTCTCAGTAAAAAGATGCAGGTGCTAGATAAGGTTTACTGGAAAAACATTTCAGTGGAACCCACAGAGCAAAAGTAATAGAGGGAGATTTAAAAACATACAGAGAAAAAATTTTGAGGCAGAGATGAATAACATGAGAAGGACATAGAGTTTGCTGTAGAAGGTTGCAAATTATAGAAGGTCTTGGAATGAGTTGGTTGTGCACCACTGAAAGATAAAAGACCAGAGAAGAGAAGACAATGTTTTTGTACTCGTCACCCCCTTGTAAGATGCAATTTTTAGTTATTTTGAAGCCCCACTTTGGCTTTTGCCGGAGGCCCTAAATATAGCCGTGCCTGAAGTATGGCCTAACGGCTGAACAGGGTTTCCGGAACCTCTCCACCGGTGATCATCATCTGCATGGTGGCACTTTGTGTCACTGGGTTTTTATCGCTTGTGTGATGTACTGGTGGGGTACAAATTACATACATACAAGATGGAATGTTTCAGGATTTAAATATATAGCATTTTTTTTTTCCCCATTGATTGAATCATTTGTGAGTTTCTGTTTGTATGAAATCATATAAAAATGCTTCCTGTTCATGACTCCCCCGTATGAGTTCCAGGCCCCTATTTTGGGGGGAAACAAAAATAGATCCACTAACAAGCATGCTGTAAAAGTCAACTATTTAGGGGTGTTTTCTTCAAAGTTGGAGTGCATCTGCCTGAGAGGTGAAGACCAACACTCTGCATACAGATAACTCAGATCTAGAAAGACTTTAAGTCTAGAAATGGATGAACAACTAGAACTTTCCTCGGGGGTTTACCACTAGTGAATGCTAAGAAGAAGGGAGCATTAAACATTTTTATAATGTTCTTTGTTTTATTTAAACAAATTATTGTCATCAATATCATCATCATCCACTTTTGCCATTAAGTGTCATGGGGAGAAGTAGCTTGTGGTCCAATGCTCGATGGATGGCACTGACTATTTTCATTTTAAGTATATGTAAAATGTCTTTAATGTCATCATTCCAACTTACTGTGTGACCCTCTTGCTGTCAGATTAACTCTTTTTAGATGTATTTCATTTGTTAGTAACTGATCATGTAGCATTCTCATGAGATGCCCAAATCTTTTAGGTCTTCTGTTTGTCAGTGTATTTAATAAAAGATGTTCCTAGAATCTATCTGGCAGTGTCATTCGAACTCGGTCTTGAATGGTTAAATTGGGGGGGGGGGGGGCTGCGTGGTCTCAAGGCAAGGTGCAAATCTCAAGTGCTAAAGGTTCCAGGTTCAATCCCTGGTAAGAGCTGGTATTTTTTCACGTGGACTAGGACTTTCTAGTAATTCCCCCGGTCCCTGGATAGTGAGATCGGAAGCCTGTGTGCATTGTTGTGCACGTAAAAAAATCCCTTGGTAGTTGGAAATCGAAAAGAGTAGCCTAAAGGCGCTGCCCGGGCATAATTTGGAGTTAAAAATCTACCCCAAGAATTGCAGGATCCTCGCCGGTGCTACAGAACCTGTGCACTGTGCTGAGCTTCTTTGGACTCTTTGACTACCCGTGTGCCATGGTGTTGGTCCGTTGTTCAAACCTCAAACCTGGTTAAAGTGCTGCTTTACTCAGTTTTCTCATCTCAGGTGTTTAGGTTTATGCTTGACCGTTATCTTATTCTTTAAATTGTTTTCTAATTCTTTAAATTGTTTTCTAATTCTTTAAATTGTTTTCTAATTCTTTAAATTGTTTTCTAATTCTTTAAATTGTTTTCTAATTCTTTAAATTGTTTTCTAATTCTTTAAATTGTTTTCTAATTCTTTAAATTGTTTTCTAATTCTTTAAATTGTTTTCTAATTCTTTAAATTGTTTTCTAATTCTTTTAAATTGTTTTCTAATTCTTTAAATTGTTATCTAATTCTTTAAATTGTTTTCTAATTCTTTAAATTGTTTTCTAATTCTTTAAATCGTTTTCTAATTCTTTAAATTGTTTTCTAATTCTTTAAATTGTTTTCTAATTCTTTAAATTGTTTTCTAATTCTTTAAATTGTTTTCTAATTCTTTAAATTGTTTTCTAATTCTTTAAATTGTTTTCTAATTCTTTAAATTGTTTTCTAATTCTTTAAATTGTTTGTTTTCTAATTCTTTAAATAAAACAACTTGCAGTGATGTTTTTATTTTTTATTTAGTACAATGCATGTGTAGGAACTTCCATGGTGTAGTGGCTAGACATTTGCCTGTGGTTCTTAAGATCGTGGGTTCGAATCCAAACAGAGCCAGACTTATTTTTCAACAGTGACCTTGGATGTCAGGTTGCCCCACCCTTAAATGGGTGCCACATAAAGTCCTGGGATGTAAAGCGGAGCCGTAAGGATGTTGACCACATCATCCACCAAGCAGCAGTAGTAGTATATTTTACCCCACCTAGACATCACACAAGCTAAAAACAGCCGATGACACAAAGTGCCACCATGCGGATCAGGATCACTCGTAGAGAGGTTCCGGAAACCGCGTTTACCCATCAGACCATATTTATGGTCGGGCTATATTGTGGGCCCCGTCAAGAGCCTGAGTGGGGCTTCAAAATAACGAAAAAGTGCATGCCACAAGGGGATGACCGCATCCACCAAGTGCCGATTGGTCTATAAAATATGTCTAGCCTTTTATGCTTAATGTGCCTGAAGGCGCGGAAAAAGGTCCTTTTTACAGAACACATGCACATTGTGATCCCAAAGAAGTCTGGCCTTAGAATGTGATCAGCTTAAAAAAAATTAGCAGCATGAGTCAAAACACAAAGATTTATTAATAATAGTCATACAGAGGATTAGGTAAAAATACAACCAGAAATATGTGAAGTTTAAAGCAAATACGTTGGAGGCAAGACTACAAGAAATACTGTGTATCTCCGGAGAACAACAATGAGGCGTTTAATAAAAGTAAATAAATATCTGCATCTCTGCCTCATGGATTACACAAAAGATACCGACAGAGTTAGACCCGTTGACTTGATAAAAGAACTTTCAAACTGATAAACATTAACTATTCACTTTGTTTTATTTTTTCTAGGATGCCTCTAGTGCTTTCTTTGGAATTGTGTTACTGAAAGTGCTACCACGTTTGCTGGTAAAGTTTGTCCTGAAGACAGGCCTGTATAGTTTAATATTCAAGTGCTACAGGAAACGATACACTTCTAGAACTCTCCAGGAGGTGCTTGACGGCCTGACAGACAATAAAGAGTTGAAACTGGTGCTTTGTTACCCTTGTGGAGATTATGGTACTTTGTTGAATATTTTTTTTTTTTTAAATGACAAGTTGCTTTCTTGTATTGTTTACACATTGTAGTTTTTAATTTTCTCCATAAATTATAATTAACTACATAAAATAGAATATAATTCAGGATTCATCAGCCCCATTGTAGTGGCGGAGGGAAGTATGCCACAGGCCTCATGCCTCCCTCTTCCCCCTGCCCCACAAAAGCATGGTGTGAGAGGTGACTTATTATGGGTGTTTCCTTCAAAGTCGAAATGCATCAGATGGAGATGCAAGAAATCGACAGTCTGCATACAAATAAGCCAGATCAGTAAAACAAAATATTTGCACATAGAACTCAAGTTATAGAACAAGACTAAAGTCCAGAAGTGGATGAATAACCAGAACTTTCCGCCGTATTTTACAGCTAGTAAACACTAAGAAGAAGAAAACAAAAAAGAAGATTTTGTAAATCCTGGCAGAAGAAAAGAATGGACTTCCTCAGAAGCATATCATGAAAGGCTGCTAAACAGGAATTTGCTTGAATCAGATGTGTTTAGTAAAGATTTTGCAACTTGGATGTAATCCCCGAAAAGTGTGCCAACCACCCTTGTAAGCTCGAATGAAGAAGAAGAAGATCATACAAGTTAATTTCAACACATAAATCACCATCATCTTCATGTATGTCCTTTCATTCTGCTTTCATTATGGCTTGCTAAAAAGCCACTGCAATAATAATTTTATACTATCTTCTAATCATAACTCATAGAAGGAGGAGGAAATAAAAAGGAAACAGAAGTAGAACCATATCTTAACATTAACTCTTTCAGTCCTAGGCTGTTGGTTCTTTGACGCCTCCCAGCCTAAAGTTTAGTTATCATTTAGGGATCTTACTAAGTTAAATAATACGATAATGGGGCAGATGAGTTAAAGTAACCAACGGAATACAGTTGAATTGAGGCCACATGTATACACAATTTATGATTGGTGAATAGCCGTGTGTACATGTGGATTAGAACTTGAGACAACATATGACATCCTCCAAGAATGTTCCAAATTCAGCATTTCAAGGCAAAACTTCTGTCTATGACAGACACTGGTGGAAGCCAAACTTTACGGGCCGCTAAGTCAATTACAAAAGACAGTGAAGTTAAAAAAAGAGACAGCATTGCAGATATAGATAATTTATTTCAAACAAACGAAAGAAGAAAGTTCAATTATGGTAACAGAAAAGGTTATGAAATTTATAAACTGTGCATAGAATAATCATTGAACTTATAGTAAGTTGATTGGTGCTGAACAAGTACTATTGTTTTCTGCATTATATTTCAGGTGTCATGCCAAAGGATGTTTCATTTATCCTCCACGCCATTCTTGTAAGCCACTATGAGAAAGGAGCATTTTATCCAGTAAATGGAACATCAGAAATAGCTTTCCACATCGTTCAGACTATAACTGAAGGGGGTGGGAGTGTGCTAGTGCAGGCACCGGTCACCAAGATCCTCTGTGACCCAAAAGGAAAGGCAATGGGTCAGTCATCATCTTATTTTTAAAAAATCTTTTGTGATTCAGAGCTTTGACGATGAAACAGACAGGTTCCCTGTGTGGTTTGCCAGGCCCTGTTTATTAATTCTTTCTTTGAAAAATTAAATTAAAAAGTCTACCATGTGCAACCCTGCTGAAGGCAGCTTTGGTTATAATTGTGGCCTATTTTTATTTGTGCCAAGTTCAATGGCTTAAATGGTTTATTGTGCCAGTGGTTGTTGCTTATTGTCCCTAAATTTATGTAATATGTCCTTTTTAAACATGTCTGGGTTCCGTAAGGTCCTAGTTGGGGTTTTGTTTTGTGTGTCAGTCTTCTTCATGTATCCTGGCTATGACTGTTATTTATAACTGAGTTATATCTCCCTATATCTTGTGTGGTGATATTCTTCCTGAATTATTGTGTCCAGTCATCTGTCCTGGAGGTCCCTGTCCTTTTCTGCCTTCTTCTGTTGTGTGGTCCTTATATGGGTCCTGATATGTTGTCTTTTGAGCGTCCCAGGCAAGTACTAGTCTGGTACTAGTTTTTTTCATTAGGAAAAAAAAAGAATAGACCCACTGCTGTTTAACAAGCAACTTGCCCGGCTCTCTAGCGTAGTTGGCTAAACCGGATTGCGCGGTGACCGGGTGATGAACTCCTTGTGGTCCGGGTTCTCTCCCGGGGGTAGGCAGAAAGCCACATTTCTCCCAGATTTACGGTATTTACAATGGAATCAAGGCCGAAAGGTTGCGATAACCATAATACCGAGCCTAAGGGTTAACAACTCATGGCTTCTGGATACTAAAACAAACATAACAAGCAACTTATAAGGATGTATCAAAATCGGATGTTTTGAGTCAAAAGGTTCAAAAATCACAGCCTAGCTTTAGAGACAGCACAACATGTCAGACGCCTCTTGAAGGGCGAACGCAGAAGAAAAAGAAGAAGAAGAAAAAGTAGAAACTGGCAGGCATACATGTTGTACCATAACAACTTCCTCAGAAAAAAAAAAAACAATAGTAGATGAAAACTATATTTCAATCTGTTTGGCAAGAGCATTTTAAATTTAAAGAATATGAGAATCATTGTATTCATGAACTTCCCTGTTTGGGTCCCGGGGACCCATTGGAGGGTGGGGGGGGGGGAAGACCCACTTCCCCCAGCATGTCGTAAAAGGCGACTAGGGGTATTTTCGTCAAAGCTGGAGTAAATCTGTCTTAGTGATAGATGTGCATGCAAAACTCAAGTTTTGGAACAAGACCAAAGTCCAGAAGTTGCTAAACAACCAGAACTTTAAACTGGAGTATAAAGCCAATGAACACTGAGTAGAAGAAAAAGAAGAAGAAGAAGATTAATAAACTAATAGCATACAACTATCACTTGCATTTTGTATCCACATCTTAGGTGTCCGTGTGGCTACGGGCAAAAAAGAATTAGAAGTACATGCCACCTGCATTATTTCTGATGCTGGTGTTGTCAACACATTCAAACATTTACTGCCGGAGAATGTTGCAAAGTCCTCATGTGAGTTAGACGCTGTGGGTAGTATGTGTTTATCTGTTTTCTTCAGTATGAATTTAAAGGAAATAAGTAATAAACCTATGCTTTGGTTTTAATTTGAAGGAAATAAGTAATAAACCTATGCTTTGGTTTTAATTTGAAGGAAATAAGTAATAAACCCATGCTTTGGTTTTAATTTGAAGGAAATAAGTAATAAACCTATGCTTTGGTTTCAATTTGAAGGAAATAAGTAATAAACCCATGCTTTGGTTTTAATTTGAAGGAAATAAGTAATAAACCTATGCTTTGGTTTCAATTTGAAGGAAATAAGTAATAAACCTATGCTTTGGTTTCAATTTGAAGGAAATAAGTAATATACCTATGCTTTGGTTTCAATTTGAAGGAAATGTATATTAAGCCAGTTCTTTTGTGTTAGTTTAAAGTTTATAAGTATTCAGCCTTGCTTTAGTGTTAATTTGCAAGAATTCTGTATTCAGCCTTGTTTTAATGTTTCCCCCATGTAGGTTTAGTTGTCCTATTGTGGGGGAAACACAAGAATAGACCCACTGCCTCCTCAACAAGCATGTTGTAGGAGTCAACTAACTGGGGGCTTCCTTCGAAGTTGGGATGTAATCAACCTGGGCTGTTAAAAAAAAAAACTACTCAAAAATAATCTAGTGAAACAGATGTACACGGCAAAACTCAGGCCCTGGCACAAAGCCAAAGTACAAATGGACGAACAACCAGGACTTTCTGCCGGATCTTACAGCCGGTGAACAAAGAAGAAGTAGAAGCTCTAATGGTAACTTATGAGCCACCATGGTGTAGTGGCTAGACGCTCACCTGTAGGTCAAAAGGTTGTGGGTTCAGGTTGTGACGGAGCCAGAATTTTTCCAAAAAATGAACTTCATTCCCAGGTCGACTCAGCCTTAAATTGATACCAGGTGCAGTCCTGGAAAGTAAAAGCAGCTGATGTGATGTTGACCACATCACCAGCTGAGTGCCGTTTGGTCTATAAAATATAAGTGTGGTCACATATATCCAACACACCTGAAGGTGAGGAAACAGAAAAGGTCCTTTCAGTGTTAAAAGTATACAGTTTAATTTCATAAGGTTAGCATGGTTTTAACTTGAAGGAAGTATGTATCAGACCTGGGCTTTGGTGTTAATGTCAAGGAAATATCTATTAAGTTTGTAGTAATTTGAAAGCTGTACACACAACATACAGAGATGCATGCTCACACGTGTGGATGCACAAATACAGAGAGAGACTTTACTGCAATGTATATTGTTTTGAAAGGCTCAATTATAGAATTTAAACACATTTTACTGAAGAATGAACAGTCCGTTCCCTAGAGAATTCACAAACAAACCAGCGATAGAATTTAAGAAGTAAAATTTTTCTATAAAGCACCTAATTATTTGGTAAGCTTATAAATGTTTTTTCTTTGCAATACAAAAGGTATCTATCCTTTGATCGAGAAAGTGGGACAGAGTGTTTCTTTTATCACTGCATTCATTGGAGTGGAAGGTAGTTCTAGCGATTTAAAACTACCAGCTGCCAATGTCTGGCTGTATGATACGTAAGTTAGATAAAAATGTCATTTTGCGGATAGACTCTTAACTCATCTTTTCTTGTTCATTGTGGTGTTGAGATGAAGTATAAACAGCACAACAGTAACTTATTTGTGTGCTTCTCACCCTTGTGGAGATTTTGGAACTTTGTTGAATATTTTTTTTTTAAATGGGATGTTGTTTCCTTGTATTGTTTACGCTTTATAGTTTTTAATTTTCTGCATCAACTAGAATCAACTAGACAAAATGGAATCAAAATTTGTATTTATTTCCGAAAAATATAATTCAAAGTTACAGATGAAGACTAAGATCTTCATAATCCTGGTCCCATTTTGGGTGAAAGAAAAGAATAGACCCGCAGTCTTCCTAAGAGGATTTACAGAGCCTCTCTTGTTCCCTCTGTCCATCATGGTCGTAGTCGGCCTCTCCCTTAATTTCCTTTTAGGCAGAACAATTTTGCTCATTACAGTTATGAGTTGGAATAATCATCATGGCACTCCAGACATGTACTTAGGTGCTTACATTCTCCTCTCAACATAAACATTTTCATTCAGCAGTTAATAGTGCCAGTTCTCTGCTGGTTGAAAAAAAAAAAAAACAACTTCCAAAGACACAGAAGGAGATGACAGATTATTTTACAGTAATATAGGCTTATAGTTTAGATATCTGTTTCGTGACGAGATTTTTACAAAGGTGGTTGTTATCACCATTGATAATTGGCAATCTAAGAGCTAAATAGACTGAAATGGTTGGGGCATATAGAGAGAATGTCAGAAGACAGAGAAGTGAAAACTGTTTACACAAGGGAGATGAATGGTCGTAGACCACGAGGCAGACTAAAAATGACGATAGACAGATAATGTCCTGACAGACCTGCAAACACTTGGTGTCACCAATTGGAAATAGAAAGCCAACCAGAGAAATAAGTAGAGGCGGGTGATATATGCAGCAATGAACCTCAAGTGCTTGGAATGCTGAAGAAGAAGAAGAAAAAGTAGGTTTATAGTATTACAATACATTTCTGTACATTACTACTCTTATATTGAAGTTTATATCCATCATTTTGTAAAATTAAGTACAATATGCATGTATTATTCACTTTTGAAGGATTTTATTTTCATAATTATTTCAGGCTCAGGTGAATTCACTTTACTGTACAAATGTATTAGGATATTTCTGTTATCAGTCTATTTGGTTATCCGTCACAACCCTGGTCTGGACAGTGACATTCCAGGTTTTACCACAGTGGTGAACTCACAAAGTGCCACCATGTGGATGAGGATCACCGTGGAGAGGTTCCAGAAACCGCGATCAGCCATTAGACCATATTTATGGCCGGGCTATATTGCAGCCCCTGGCAAGAGCCAGAGTAGGGCTTCAAACAACGAAAAATTGCACCTCACAAGGAGATGACTGGATAGTTGATAAGTTTTTGTGAATGTTTATGTTACATTCAGCACCACTGTTGTGTGATTTTATGTAAAATTTCCAAAATTCACCATTGTGAACTTTTAACAGGGATGACATCAATAAGGCAGTGACAGAATATCTCAGTGTGAACGCTGATGACGCCGACACAGCTGATATTCCTTTTGCCTTCATTTCCTTCCCATCTGCCAAAGATCCTCAGTGGGAGCAGAAGTTCCCAGGTAGGCAGTCTCATATAGTTAGTCATCTGATGGTAACAGAGTAAAGCATGACAAATAATATTGTTGGCATAAAAAATAAACTTGGCTTTCAAGTCGACCTGGGAAGTAAAGGCGGCCAGCATAGTGTTGATCACACCACCCACCAAGTGCAGATTGGTCTATAAAATATAGGTCTAGCACTATATGGCCAGAATGCCTAATGATGTGCAAAAGAGTCCTTTACTTTACTCAACTTGGAGACAGGTCATTTTTGAAGGAAGAAAAAGTCCAGCTCCGTTTGGATTTGAACCTCTGACCTTCGAATCCACAGGCGAGTGTCTAGCTCTAAAAGAGGGCGGTTACCTTGTCATTTGAGTGTTATGGAAAGGTTGAAAGGTAATATTTGACAGACTCATATACTTCATATACTCATAAATATCTGATAATAATGGAGTGAAGTGTGAATGGTAATTTTAAACTAGACATCGACCTGGCTGCTTGAGATACTAAGCTAAGTGATTTTGTGTACAGTCAAGTCCACTTAAGTATAACTCGGATAAGTCACATTTCGGTTAAGTCAACATGACCAGCTCAGTCCTGTCAATTTTCTCTATTGTGTGTGCTGTCTGTATAAGTAGAAAGTAGAAATCCTGACAAGTGGAAGCATTTTCTTAGGTCCCTGCGACTTCTCCTTATCCAGATTCGACTGTATTTGTGTAGCTTTGTTTTATTTATGTATGTGCTGATGAAGGCTCCATAGCCGCAACGTTCAAGTTTAATTTGTGTTCGTTATATTGTGAAGCTTGCTGATATACTTTTTGTTCGGTTTTATATCTTTTCTTGGTAATTTTAAGGAAAATTATAATTGATATAAGACTACACAGTCAATGTTATTAGACTAGACAGTCAGGGTTATTAGACTAGACAGTCAGTGTTATTAGACTAGTCAGTCAGTGTTATTAGACTAGACAGTCAGTGTTATTAGACTAGACAGTCAGTGTTATTAGACTAGACAGTCAGTGTTATTAGACTAGTCAGTCAGTGTTATTAGACTAGACAGTCAGTGTTATTAGACTAGACAGTCAGTGTTATTAGACTAGACAGTCAGTGTTATTAGACTAGACAGTCAGTGTTATTAGACTAGACAGTCAGTGTTATTAGACTAGACAGTCAGTGTTATTAGACTAGACAGTCAATGTTATTAGACTAGACAGTCAGTGTTATTAGACTAGACAGTCAGTGTTATTAGACTAGACAGTCAGTGTTATTAGACTAGACAGTCAGTGTTATTAGACTAGACAGTCAGTGTTATTAGACTAGACAGTCAGTGTTATTAGACTAGACAGTCAGTGTTATTAGACTAGACAGTCAGTGTTATTAGACTAGACAGTCAGTGTTATTGGACTAGACAGTCAGTGTTATTGGACTAGACAGTCAGTGTTATTAGACTAGACAGTCAGTGTTATTAGACTAGACAGTCAGTGTTATTAGACTAGACAGTCAGTGTTATTAGACTAGACAGTCAGTGTTTTTTTCAGGCGTGTTATAAGAAGGAATAGACTCAAGAACTTTGTGATTACTGGTAAGATTGAGGGAAATAGAATAAGGGAAAGACAAATAAATAAATACCTGGATGACTTGGCCAGTTTGATGAAAGCAAAACAAGAGCATTGACCAGATCTGTGATTCTTATGAATAATATGTGAAATGGTTAAACATATAGTGAAACAGACAGCCTACTCTGATTGCACAATGAATGATGATAGTATCTAAAGGTTAACCCTTTTAGCACGGGAAGTTTTTCAGAGGTCTAGCCAAAAACACGGAGCATTTTTTCAGTGAATTTGGTTATTACTTTATTTATTTTTTTGACAGATTTCTGTTATTCTGACCGCCATGAAATAATATATCTTTTTGAAGGATATAGATTGAAGTTCATGATTTTCACAATATCGTTAAAATTAATTGATGTATATGCAAATTATCTCGTTTGCATATCTAAAAATAGAAAATATGAATTTGAATTTTCAACTTCAATGCTTGAAACATAAAACTAAAAACTAAAATTTTTTTTATTTGAAATCTTTTTATTGATCTTTCGCCTTTTTGCAAATGTTGTAAGCAATTTAATAGTCAAAAACAGGTATATAATATGAAACAGCAATAATATCTTTAGGTGACATGTGTTTTTCACCATCAGTCAGCACAAGAAATGGATGTGCCGGCGTGTCAACACCTTCGGGTGGATATACCCTGAGCCATGGTTGGGCTGTCGACGGAACACAACAGCGTCCCCATCTGAATCCCCACTATTACTACTAACACTAGATCCTGCATCAGTATCAACAGAATTAGTGTCATCACTTGATTCAAAGGTTTTATCAACATCAAGTTTAGGGGCAGAAACATACGAGTCAGACATACTTTTAGCGGTTCAGGTCACTATCTAAAAAATTCAACAACAATTTTCACTTCGATACCAAACACTCGAAAGTCGCCATGTGTAAAGCTGATACAGCAGTTAATATAAATGAATCACTTTCAGTGTTTCAAAATAGGAGATTTCTTAGCGGTTCGAGGCGAAACACGATCAGGCCGATGATCGGCCGTTCCGTGTTTTTGGCCAGACATCCGCCGGCCGATAATCGGCCCGTCCGTGCTAAGAGGGTTAAAGAGTAAAGCATGAAAATTATTTTGTAAAAGTAAAGATCCCTTTTCCACGTCTTTAGGCGTATTGGAAATATAGGGCTAGACCTATATTTTTATGGACAAGTCGGCACTTGGTGGGTGATGTGGTCAACATCAAATTATTAATTAGTTGTGTATCCTTTACAGGACATTGCAGAACCAACCCCAGCACTTTCTGGCTGTTGTGGTTTTTCTAGGCAAATTTACATCCAGTAGTTTGGTCAGCATCACGCCAGCAAATATTTCATAAAACTTGCATTTTTTTTTTCATTTTATGGTTTTGGAATAAAACACCAGTTACCATGCTCTTCCCTGGTGAAATCCCACTTAAACCACTTTTGTTATGCAGTTATGTAGATAAAAATGGTAGAAAACAAAAGACATGCACAGTTTTCACAGCAATGTCTTTAATGTCATCAGTCCGTATGAAAGTCAAATGAAATTAAAACTGTGATACCTGATTTAGAATATTTAGCTTTGATGTTAACTTAGTGACTTTCACATGGAGAATGACCAAAAGCCATATCTGTAAAATGAATAGGTGCAGAACACTGAAGTCCTGGAACAAGCTTAGAAGTGGATGAACAACCAGGACTTTCTGCCAGACTTTACAGCTGGTAGATGCTAAGAAGAAGAAGAAGATTCACTATATTAGTAAATTAAAAACTGTTGTAGATTGGTAGTGAAAAATAAAAATAAAAATTTAATTCATTATGATTTAATGGACCAGTTTTTTTTCATGTAAGTAATTTTTAGTTTTTTACCCCTATCCAGGTAAAACTTCCTTGCTAGTTATCACATTAGCCAAATGGGAGTGGTTTGAGGAATGGAAAGATGAAGCTGTCAGACACCGAGGTGACCGCTATGAAGGAATTAAGGATGCCTTTGGCAGAAAAATGTGGCAACGATGTGTTGATCTCTACCCTCAGCTAGACGGAAAGGTTAATACTTCATCTTTTGGTTTCACATTAGAACATTTTCCTTTGGCTTTACTTTAGAACAGTCTTGAGATTTCATAATTCAAATTATTTACAGGCGCGCACACATGTCAGGGTGGACAGTACGTCGATCTAGCATACCAGAATAAATTAAAATTAGGTGCTGAAGTCGGAGGCAACCAGCCAGGAGGCGCACCGTAAAAATTCAGGATGCCACGCACAAATGCTGAAGGAAATTTACCTAGTTCCTGGAAATAAAAGAGCTGATAAACTAGCTAAGGAAGGTGCAAATGAAGAACAACCTGATGTACCAGTCTCTTATCAACAAAAGAAGAGAATAATCAAATCAATCAGAAAGCCACCAAAACCGGCACAAGATGATTACCATTTATGGACAGACCAGAGCGAGTCATTATTCTTCGCATTAGAAAGGGACACAATCGACTTCGCAGCCACATGTACTCAAAATTTAAAATCCGCGAATCAGCCATGTGCACATGTGGAATGGCACCTGAGACAACAGATCACGTCCTCCAAAACTGTCCCAAATACAACATATCAAGGCAAAACATTTGGCCAAGAGCAACATCGGTGCAAGTTAAACTTTACGGCTCGCTGAGTGAATTACAAATCTTTTTTCTTATACTTCTTTGGTTCCAGTGCAAGGACATTCTGGTCATATTATTATCAGGTTTTCTCAAAGTGTATCTTTTCCACAGCTGTTGTCTTCCTTACCTCCTGGTTCACTGGACTGTGCTTAGTTCTCCCCCAAAGCTCTATACTATTGATTATGTTATATGTGATTGTTTTGTCACCAGAAAGTGTACAAAAAGGTTGATATTCCTATCATCATATTATATGTTATAGATTTACGAACTGGGTAAGAACAGCTGGAGATATGTGATTCCATTGTTTTGTCCTCAGAAAGTGTACATGAAAGTTCATACAGCTATCATCATATTATATGTTATAGGTTTATAAACTGGATAAGCAGAGCAGGAGAGTTTCATTTATCTTGTCCTCAGAAAGTGTATATGAAAGTTCGTACACCTATGATCATGTTATATGTTGTAGGTTTAAAAACTGGGTAAGAACAGCTAGAGATATGTGATTCCATTGTATTGTCCTCAGAAAGTATATATGAAAGTTTGTACACCTATGATCATGTTATATGTTGTAGGTTTATAAACTGGGTAAGCACAGCTGGAGATATGTGATTCGATTGTCTTTTCCTCAGGAAGAGTACATGAAAGTGTACACCTATCTTCATATTATATGTGATAGGCTTTTGAACTAGGTAGGCACAGCTGGAGATATGTGATTGGATTGTCTTGTCCTCAGAAAGTGAACATGAAAGTTCGTCACCTATGATCATGTTATATGTTGTAGATTTATAAAATGGGTAAGCACAGCTGGAGATATATGATTGGATTGTCTTGTCCTCAGAAAGTGTACATGAAAGTTCATACACCTATCATTATATCATATGTTGTAGGTTTATAAAATGTGACTGGATTGTCTTGTCCTCAGAAAGTGTACATGGAGGTTGGTACACCTGTCAGTAATCAGCATTACCTGGCATGTCCCAGGGGTGAAATGTATGGGCTGGATCAAAAGGTAGTACGATTTACACCTGGTGTAGTCAGTAAACTACGTCCAGACACAGATATTAAAGGACTCTATTTAACAGGTTGGTGATGTTTTTTTTCCCCTATTTTTTTTTTGTTTCCTTTAATGTTTTTATATTCTACTGGTAAAAGTGAGGAAACGAGAAGTTCAGAGTTTTTAGTAATGGTCATTTCGAATAAATAGATCATGCCTAAACGTATAATTAAAATCAGTGTTATTAATTTAGGTTAGTGCATAAATTCAGGTGTCTAGGCACTAGAATAGCATCATGTTAAAGATCTAGCATCTAGAGAAATAACTAAACAGGACATGCAACAACTGTTTATTTTAAGCCAGTTTTAACATGTAATGCTCAAAATCCTGGACATTTAGTAAACAAGCAAAAACTTGTCTTGCTGTTGTTCTGCAAAAGAATAATTAAAATTCCTTCCTTCACCTCTTCATTACTTCTTTATATGTTGAGGGTGTATACTCATCTGGCCACCATGACCATAGCTACCTGGAATATTGATACTATCTCTCCACTTTGGTCTTGGTTTACCTCAGGCTGGACGTCACTTTCCTATTTTCATGAATGCTTTGTATAGTGTGGCATCACAATGCATGCTTTCTGAATGGGTTTTTGTTAAGTGCCAATTCATTGTCGGTTCTGTGCTGACTCTTTCTCCTTTGTCTTATGACTTCATTCTCGATTTTATCTCTTCTGGGCCCTTCCACAAAAAACAGACTGTTGTTGGGGCTTTAGGACACTGATACAAGTGTCACGTTATAGAAGAGATCAGGGATTCACACTGAACTGTTCCAAAAGAAGGCAGGGGGTGCACTATAGCCTACTTCATTGTGGAGACGACACCCCTACAGAAGGGTCACTCCCTCAAGTTTCTTCTTTCATCCATTCACCAGTTGTAAACTCTGGTGGAAGGTTCTGGCCTTGTTTTAGAACTTGAATTTTACCCGCGCATTCAGATCTGGCTTATTTGTATGCAGACTTTTGGTTCCTCGCCTGTCAGACAGATGCACTCCAACTTTGAAGGAAACTTCCCTGGGTAGTCGCTTTGTACGACATGCTCGTTAGGGAGACAGTGGAACTATTCTTTTTTCCCTCTCAGAATCAGGCCCTCGATACACAAGAGGACCTCGGTCATCTCATTTCCCTTGTTACTCATTTTAGTTGATAAATTGTGGAGAGACAGCTGAGGAAAATTGGCATGAAAGTGGCTACCTCAGTATGGAGAAAACTTTAGCAAAAAATCCAACAAACCATGGGCAAGTCTTCACATTCCTGGGCATTAGTTGGTTGAGGCCTACTGTCCATTCATCACCATCCTCATTAACTTTCACTTTTGCCATTAAGTGTCGTGGGGAGAAACAGTTTACGATCCATTGCTCTGTCGGTAGCACTGGCTATTGTCTTCAATGTTGATGTAGAATGTCTGTAATATCATTATCATATCTGTGGAGCAGCTGGCAGAGTGGTTACATCATTGGGTTCTCATGCAGGTGACCCGATTTTGACCCCGGTAAGGTGATGGAATTTTTCTGTCAGGGGCAAAACTGAACATACTAACCTGCACAGACCATGGTGACAGCACTATGACTTAAGGACTGGGGGATAGTCCACGACTCGCATCCGTATGTTGCTACACTATAATGTTGCTACACTTGAATGTACCTAATTTATGACAGGTTTTATTGCTTTAATCAGTATGTTTATCTTTATCTCTTTTAGGCCAAGACGTCTTGACATGTGGATTCGCCTCGTCTCTCCTTGTCGGTCTTATATGTGCATCCCAGATATTAAATCGGAATATCTACAGTGACTTGCTTCAGTTTCGAAAACACATTTTGAAAGGAAGTTCACTTTCCAAGGAAGCCAACCAGAAAAAGGAGGAGTAGACTAAACAAAGAAAGTGTTAATGTTTGTATAGATGTTGCAGTTATTTTTCACTTATATATTCAGCATATGGAACACTTGATGAGCTTTAATTTTGTATTGGGGTAGGGAGAAGAATAGGGGGAAACTGTTTTAACTCTTGCGGGCATTATTAGCTAAATAGAGTCGTTGTCTTCTTCTTCTGCCTTTGACCCGAAATGGATGATAGGCATGTTCTGTTGTAGTTTACAGCTAGGCTGTGATTACCTTGCATGTGACCTACAGGGTTTCCTTGTCTTAGGACCGAGTTCCTTTCCAGCTGACAGGTTGTGACTGATCCTAAGTCGAATTTATATTTTTCAACACCATTACCATTCAAATGGGTCACACAATTTATTTATAAAACACCAAAATGTAATCTATGTACATATAAATAGACCCTGAAACTTTTTTTTATCCTACCAGTGTGATCTTTCTTTATTATTTTTGTTGACTTATTTTTGTGTGATTGTAAGTGCGGATAGCGTAAGTCTAATAGGTCATAAGTCAGAGAGAAGGTTTACTTGTTAATTAACAGTGGGTCTATTCTTTTGTCCCTGTCTATTTGGGGTCCGAGGTACACACAGGAAAACTATGTAGAATTGTGTGTGTGCGTTAAATAGATTTGTGTGTGCGGTAAATAGAATTGTATGTGTGCGTTAAATAGAATTGTATGTGTGCATTCAATCGAATTGTGTGTGTGCATTAAATAGAATTGTGTGTGTGTGTTAAATAGAACTGTGTGTGTGCGTTAAATAGAATTGTGTGCGTGCGTTAAATAGAATTGTGTGTGTGCATTAAATAGAATTGTGTGCGTGCGTTAAATAGAATTGTGTGTGTGCGTTAAATAAATTCACTGCCTCACTAACTAGAATGTCATTCAAGGTGACTAATAAGGGAAGTTTCCTTCAAAGTCGGAGTGCATCTGCCTGAGAGGTGGGGAGCCAACAGTCTGCATACAAAAAAGTCAAATCTGTAAAAAAAAAAAAAAATTATATGCACGAAAAACTGAATTTGTCGAACAAGACCAAAGTGCAGAAATGAGCGAACAACTAGAACTTTCCACTGAAGTTTACAGCTGGTGAAAGTTAAAAAGATTATTATAAAAATCTGCTTTCATGTAGGTTTGAACCAATATCTTCTGGCTGACAGGCAAGTGCCTAACCATAGCACTACTATCGCTGCCATTATTAAGATGACATCTTTTTATCCATATCAAGAAAAGATATAAACCCGAACGAAAAGTATATTGGCAAGCTTCACATTATAACAAATACGAACAAAACGTGAACGTTGCGGCTATTAAGCCTTCATCAGCACACACAAAATAAACAATACTACATAGATATAAAAAAATCACTTAGCTGGTATCATGATGCGGCCAGGTCGGTGGTTACTCAGCAGAATGACCGCACGTGTCAGCTGGGGAAATAAATACCCCCCTGTGGAGTATCAGGGGCCATAACTGGGGTGTAGGGGTTGAAACTGTGAGCGCAGTTCAATTCCCTTGGAAGTTTAAATGAAACTGTGTTGGCAATTCATTCCGGAGGGCGTCAAAGTCCCCAGAGTATAAATAAAGCGATTCTCAAGAGACTTGCGGACTCTTGTCGCTGGAATGGCTAGATTTAATGGCTGTCACCTCCATGTCGTGGACACCTTGGTGATCCTGGGAATTGAAGTGCAACGGTACTGGTTTCAGGGCACCATTTTGCACGTCCAAAAGATGTCTGAACCTGTCAGCCAGCCGTAGACCTGTTTCACCAATGTATTTCATGCCACATCTCTTGCAGTTGATGGCATAAATGACATTGCGGCTGGTACAATAGAATGCTTCACGTATGTGGAAGGTGGCGTTGGGGAATTCTAGACTGGCCGCCTGTACCACATATGGACAGGTTCTGCATACAGGTCTATGGCAAGAGACCGTGCCAAAGTGGGGCTCAGACGCGGGGTGTAACCTACTCTTGACTAGAATGTCCTTGAGGTTACGATCATGCCTGTAGGCCACTAGAGGAGGTTCAGAGAAAATCCTGCTGGTGGTAGGGTCGGCTTTAAGGATGGAGAGATGCCTAAGGAAAATATTCTTGGCGCGGATGTTATGAGGGTGGTAGGTAAGTGTGAGAATAGGTCTGTTGTTGTGACGTTTCGGCTTGGAAGCTAGAGCTTTGGCACGATGGAAAGACCGTGCGCGGTGAAAGACGGCAGATCGGACATGTTCAGGATACCCTCGAAGCCGAAAGAAGTCTAACATTTCCAGGGCCTTGTTGTGAAAGTCGTCGTTCTCCTGGCATAGTCTGCATATGCGTAGAAGTTGGGAGAACGGAATAGAGTCCTTGCAAGAAGAGGGATGGGAGGAGGTGTAGAGGAGAAAAGCGTGGGAATCAGTAGGCTTGTAGTACACCGAGGTGATAAGGCCCATAGAATTCACTGTGACAGTGAGATCCAGAAAATCCACCGACGAAGGTGAGATGCTAGAAGTGCATCGGATCCTGGGATGAAAGTTAGAGAAAAAATGAATAAAGTTCTGTAGTTCCTGAAGGGGCATATCGGTTACACCGATGCAATCATCAATATACCCCCTGTAAAGCTCTGGGAGCCTACCTGTAGATGAATGACGTATATGGTGCTCGAGGTACCCCATAAAGAGGCCGGCATAGTTGGGTCCCATCTTGGTCCCCATAGCGACAACGCTAATCTGGTTTAAATACTGGCCATTAAACTCGAATGAGTTTAGAGTAAGCACTAGCTCAGCCAGACGAATGAAAGGATCAGTGGCTATGGCAGGACTGACTCTCTGATCTAGAAAGAACCTTAAAGCCTGGAGGCCACCCGAATGTGGAATAGAGGTGTAGAGGGAGGTAACATCTAAGGTGAAGATGTGGTACCTGGAAGAAGAGGTGAACCGGATAGACTGAAAGATAGAGATGACATGGTTGGTGTTTTTGATGTAAGACGGGAGATTAACGACCAGGGGCTGCAGAATCCGGTCGAGGAATCCGGATATAAGCTCTGTGGGACAAGCACAGGCGGACACGATCGGTCTACCTGGGTTGTCCGGTTTGTGTATCTTAGGAAGCATGTGAAGGGCAGGCTTCCCCAGACAACTGTCCTCGACAAAAAGAGAGCTGTCCTGGGCGGGCAAAAGATCCTCCTGGATAAAGGTTAGGCTGGTACTTTTCACTATTTTTTTCTGTAACATCCTGTGTCTGGGGTTCATAGGAAGATGTGTCACTAAGTTGTCTATCCCCTTCTTGCACATAAAAATCTTTCCTCCAGACTTCTATCGCCCCTCCCTTGTCGGCAGGTTTGATAACAATATCATCACGACGTTTCAATCGTGTGAGTGCCTGAAGTTCTTGAGGTGAGAGTGCCGTAGAGGTTGGAATTTTAATTTATTGATCTCAAAAAGAGTTTTCTCAATGTATAAATCCAAAGCTCTAGATGCCCCAGGGTTAGGAGTCCAGGAAGATCTAGGTTTTGGAAACCAGACAGTGGAGTCAGTAGGCAATGGCTTGAATCGTTATAGAAGTTCACTGTGTGTGGAGTCATCTTTATCCATAGGCATTCAAACATTCACGTCAGTGGCAGTAGTTATATTTGTGTCTTTTCTGAACTTAAGAACAATTTTCAACTATGTACATTGTTCGTGTTGAATTTAACATTTCATTGTTGCATTTTGAATTATTTTGTAAACACATTTAGTTAACAATTACTATTAATAAAACTATTTTCACAATACAGTTTATGGTTCCTGATTTTTAATTCAATATTGCGTTGATGGTTTTAAAATGGATCAGTGCGATAGCATACTATCTTCTTCTTCTTCTTCTTTATATTCGTCGGCTCTGAACTTCAGCAAATATTTCTGGCTGTTCGCCCACTTCTGGACTTTGGTCTTATTCCAGAATTTGAGTTTTGCCTGCCAACGTTTACAGCCGGTGAATTCATGGAAGAAGAAGAAGAAAACCTCATAAAAGGTGACAAATCAGAAGTTTGCTGAAATCGGATGTGTTGGGCTGAATGGAGCCTAGCAGTAAGCCACAATTCAACATTTCAACCAACCTTTTATGGGCGATTGCAGACAACAAAAAAGAAAGGATCTTCTTCCCTTCTCTACTCCTGAAATGCATCGCGTCGTCAGGGCAGGAAAAGATCCCTGAACGGACCCTTCTGTTAGCTTTTTATTGAATACTTTTCAGTATGTTAGGCAAACATGCAGCCTAGCCGACACCACCTCTGGTGCAAAGCGGATACCCGTGACTTGTGCGTTTATTTGTACATTTTCCTCTATTGCCACACTTGACAGGCGTTGCAGGGAACAGAACCCTGTTGCTGTCAATGCAGAAGTCAACGCTCTCATCAGTGAGAATTCAGATGAGGCACGTGTACTGATTTACTACACAGACGAATCCGTTTTACGCCAACAAAGAAGCACAGCACGCTCAGCGGGCAGAACAGTAAAAAAAAAGCTAACGGCGTCTTCTCCATGACAACCAGCAGCAAGACGATGGAGGTGATGGCAGTAACGAAAGCGTTCGCATGGCTCGAAACTCAAAACTACACCCGCGCATATGTACTCAGTGATTCAATAAGTAATGATCTGCAGTGTTCGGTGCGAAGGCAATGGCTTGAATCATTATAAAAGTCCACTGTGCGTGCGAGTCATCTTTATTTCCGTGTCGGGTACGCGGGCTTTTATGGATATGAAAGAGTTGATAGGATGACCGGATCTGCTATCACTACCAACGGTCAACCTATGGATCATGCTGATATGGGAAGGGTTGTAGAACCTTGGGGGTAGTGAATCCACATCACTCGACAGAATGATATTCTTGAGAGTTAAGATCGGCTTAGCAAAAAATGAGAAGCACACCAGAGGACATGTTAAAATCAACATAAAACTGGTACTAAAAGCCATATTGAATGGAGGATCTGAGCACATATGGAAAGGTCCGGAGTGCAATGATGATAACTCAACTAACTA